TAAATAATAAGCCGGCAGTTCAAAGTTATTCACTGGTCTGTGGTCATTATTACATTTACATCTATTATCTGCTCCCATAGCCGAACCTAGTACTGGTCTCAAGTATAACTATTTACTGTAGCCACATTAAAGGTGCTACACAAGCACCGGGTGAAACAGTGTCTGCTGAGCTCCAATACTTACTACTTCTCACTTCAGTCCTTTTGGGATTGAACACTGTTGTCATCTGTCCAGGTAAGCTGAAGAACAACTCACGTTGTTTTGTTCACATCTAAGTTTGGTCTATGTGTTAAGATTTGTAACTTATTACGATCAGTATGTGTGTGTATGTGTGAGCGATCGAAATAATCTTACCAGCTAAAACGTTTTCTCTGTAATCGCTCCGGTTATGAAGAAAATGTACATTTTGGTCCGACAATAAGGTTCATATGTATCCTGAGATGCAATTTTCCAAAATCAATATTGTGCTTAAGGCTGAGTTCACCTGAAACTTATCAGACTGAAGAAGTCTCTTGGATGAGAGACGAAACATTTCACTAAAGAAGAACCAGCCCATCCAGAGGACCTACTTATTTTTTCTTTTTGAATATTGTGCTTCATTTTTATTATCATTACAACAAAGTATGCTACGATGCTCCAGACTGTAAACAGCAGAGAGAAGTGGCTGTGATGACGTGCTGAAACGGGCGGAACAGGATCGGAAGCCGGATTGGTGCTGCGTCTTCAGTGCTGCGGGTGCTGTACCGGTCTGTCGTGGTGAAGCAGGAGCTGAGCCGGAAGACGAAGCTCTCAGTTTATTGGTCGGTCTACGTTCCTACCCTCATCTATGGTCATGGGTTTTGGGTAGTGACTGAAAAAACAAGACTGTGGATACAAGCGGCCGAAATGAGTTTCCTCCGCAGGGTGGACTCTCCCTTACAGATAGGGTGAGAAGCTCAGTCATCCACAAGGGACTCAGAGTAGAGCCGCTGCTCCTCCACGTCGAGAGGAGTCAGTTGAGGTGGCTCGGGCATCTGGTTAGGATGCCTCCTGGACGCCTCACTGATGAAGTGTTCCGGGCATGTCCCACCGGGAGGAGGCCCAGAGGAAGATCCAGGACACACTGGAGGGACTACGTTTCTCAGCTGGCCTGAGAACGCCTTGGGATTCCCCCAGATGAGCTGGCCCAAGTGACTGGGGGAGAGGGAAGTCCGGACTGCACACTGGATATATTATGAACTTCCTGGGTAGACCTTGCTTGCTAAACCAACAACACCTAATCGGGCCTCCTTGTTGTGGCCCAGCAAGACTCGAGTGGAGTAAATTTATTTAAAGCAAAAACTCTTGAGAACTACAACAGTCTAGTTGTTTTGTCTTATTGCACAAATTAAAAACCAGCTCCACATATTCCTCTTTATGTCATTTCCTCTCAAGAAAGATTGTGTGATGGAGGTCCATGGAAGGAAAATGAGTTTAAATCAAATAAGCAAAAGAGGATGGAGTGAAAATAAATAAAAGGTATTCTATTTTATAAATGGAAACCAAGCCTCCACACTGACTGTATCCCTTGCTGTGGAGAAAACTCGCTCTGAAGGAGTGGAAGAGGCTTGAATGTTGAAATATATTTTGGCCATGTGGAGAATGTGTTTGTGTTCTCTTCACTCACCTTTCAGAGCCTTAGAGGCATGGGCGGAGTCATCAATTACTCACCTGACCTGGATCCTGCTGATGAGGCTGGCAGCTGTGTGAAGCTGACACCCCACCCACACAAAAAATAAAAACTAGTAAGCGGATTGGTTAGTGCTTCGTTTGTGCAGGTTTGTGCAGTTAAAATGAGCGTTTGTGCTGTTATAGTTTTTGAGATATTAAGCATTATGTCTTTAGGTCATTAAGACGTTATAACCACCCCCAGCAAGCTCCGAAATGAACCAAAGTAGTCTACATTATTAGTGCTTCG